ATTATAAGCAAAAAAAAACAGAATATTATTTGTGTTGATTAACATTGAAAAAAAAGAAAAAGAAAATCAAATAATAATCACAATAATAAAAAGTTCAATCTTATAACTAAAATACTAAATTTTTCTCTAGACAAAATACTCCACTTCTCCCAATACAACATACTAACAGTATTTAATATACTGAAATATTTCAATAGAATCTTACATTTAGAGAAGTACTATATAACAAATCAAGCTACATTATTGAAATTGTTTTAGAAATCTTGTCTGAAGAAACTCAGACTTAAACTCTATTTCATCATCAGAAAGCTAGACAATTGAATCAAGTTCTCTACTCAATATAGAAAATCTTTCTGAATAAATAGAGGTGAATAAAACGTGAGCTACTCGACAATAATTCTGAGAAAACAATGTTTTATGATTAAACAACATCAAACCAAAAGATAAAATGGGAAAAATTCTCGAGATTATTGAGGAAATCAACTGTGTTTTGTATTTCTATTTACTCATGAGAAATATGTATTGATAATTTCTATTAACAATAAACACTGTGTTTTTATCTTCTTACAGACGTAATTCCTATTTCATTACCTTGATAATTTAATTCACTTTGGAAGTGCATTATCAAATTTCAGATATCCAACCTCAAATATATGACGTCAAAACTCCTTGTTATTGTCTAATTATTGTTTCCTAGGAAACAATTTTTAGGATAAATTTGATAGTTCGCAACTTTTTGGAAAACAAATTGAATGCACCAATCAGAACACTGTAAACAACATGTTGAAAGGAGAAAATAGAATAAAAATTTAAAAGTTGTCTTGTTTATTTTTTAGAATAAAAAAAATAGGTGGAAAGGGAAATTTCAAAAATCTTATCTCAAATATCACATCTTATAATTTATTTCAAGAAAATGTTAACATTAAAAGACAAACATAGAATTTTCACTCGTGTAAAAGAATGCTTCAAATAGAAAAGTTTAGTGCAAAAGGAAATTGAGTGCAAGCAACCAGTTTCTAGAAAAGAAAAATTTTGAGTGGAAACTGTGTTTAAAAGGAAATATCTCCAAAGAGTACTCAGTTTGGCAAGAGTTAAAACCAAAGAGAGGAATTTGTGTCAGTTAGATACTAGTAAACACAACACGGCTTAAAAAGGTGTTCTTTTGGCATGAAAGAACAGGAACAGTCAACTAGTAAATACTGATGATAAGACAGCAGTCAATAATCAGATTAGTAATGTTGACATACTCTTACTGGACACTGTACAGTCAATATCATACTAACTAAATACAAAATAACTTTTTCAAACAACCAAAAACAACGTCTTGAAACTTAGCAAAGACTAGAACTTTCTAAGGGAATATTACAATATTCATATAGCTGATCATATTTCTAAAAACATTCAAGAATTGTAAGTCAATCAAACTCTCTATATGTAAATCTAAATTTCAATTTCAAAGATATTCTGTTAAAAAGTTGAGAATAGCCAGACTCAAATTCTCCATTCAAATATTACAGGTATATATATGTTACAGTACACATTTTTATAAAATAATAGTATATAATTAGTGAATATAAGATTCTACCAATAGGATGCTGAGTTGACAATCTTAGTAGGAAACATATCGAGGAAACTGGTTATACAGATATATCAACTGCAGGATTATAGAAAAGAATCATAACAATAGATTCTATTCTTTACACTTCAGTCTTTGATGCAGGTCTCTATTGTCTCTTTTGTCTCTGGTCAAATACAAAATGTGAAAAAACTCCTTGTTTGATAATAGCATACTTTACAAAATACAACAACAATAATCAACTGTCACTTGCTGTCTCACATCAAATATAACATGCACTTTATTGTGTGCTCGTTTCATGACATTTCTTATAAATTGTTTAAATATCACACCGTCAAGTTGTGCTGATGGTATTTTAAGAAGTTTGACAAATACAGGATTTTATTTTTTTACAAGTGACGGCAAAATGTTACGACCACTCAGCGTAATAATCAAGTGAATCTCCAGTAATCTCACCAAATATATATATGCATACCAAGTTTCATCAAAACTGGCTCAAATCTGCAGATTTTTTTCAGCTCCCAGGCCTAATATGGACGGAAAGCCAAAAAGGGTGGCAAAAATTTACATCCACAGTATAATGTGGGCTATTCTTTCTTTTTGCTGATATATTATTTATCTTAGCTGGTTTTTTGCATTCTATTCTATTTCTTCAAAAAAAGGACAATCTGATACATGTGTCCACAGTATGACATGATCTTTTTTCAATTATGATGCTAAAAATTACCTGTAATCTTCAGAATTACCACAGGACTCTTCTCTGCGTAATGAACTCATTGTATTTTCACCATCATTTTGTAAGGCTATCAAGCAGGAATCTGAGAAAGCTCTTTTAACCTTTTCATCATGCTCTTCAATTAATTGACTGGCTTCTTCAGCAGTTCTGGGTAATTTTTTCATGCTAGATATTTCTTGCATTATGCTGATTAGGAATTTGGCAACTTCACGACAAGCATTTAAAAATGGTTCTAATTTCTGAAATAGATGATCAAAAAACATGTTCACTTCTATTTCAGTTATGGAAATAGCCTTTGTTCCATCTTATATTTGTTTCAAGAAAAATATGGAATGCAAACATTAAAACAAAACATAAGATACATACCATACGAAAACGAACCCATTCTGTATGACTAAAAGGAAAGGTACCATCTAAGGCAGAGGGTAATTGTGATGGATGTATAATACGATGAATCAGATCTGGTGATGATAGTAAATCCAACTGAAAAAATAAAATATATAACAATTAGAAATATAACAATCAGAAATATATCAACAATGAAATGGTGATTATGTTTCACTTTTTTTTTAAAAGAAATGAGCCTTTGTTAGCCTTCGTCAAGCTTTATGAAGGCCATTGCATGTTTAAGCCTGATTTTAAACAGTTTTCACTTTCTAATATTACAATTTCAACAGCTAAACTCAGAGTTATATCAAGTAGCAGATAATTCATATAGGATACAAAACAGCCACAATACCAACCTTAACACATGATCTTGAATCATATACTGGAGATCTTAAAACATAGGATTGTGTTTGTTTATCACAGACAAGATGAAGGATGGATTCACAATTAGGTATATTATCCTAAAATATTACATAAAACTTGCGATTATTGACTAGTGACTTAACCCTCAGGTCACATCCTCCTCAAAAAAGACACAAGTTTGTCCTTAGCTGAATTTGCCACTTAATACAAGTATTCTTCAGTCACTAAGTTGTCCATCTGTGTGTATAAAAAATAAATCGAGAAACCAAACAGTATCAAAAGGTTAATCTGTTTGTACATGTATCTGCTGCTATATTTGTGCCTTAAGGATGCACAAGCTGTGTTCAAAATGAGAAATTGTTCATAATTTCTTAAAATGTATGGTAACATTGTTTTGTAATTAACTTACATGAAATAAATATAATGATTCTAAAAGTATATTAATAATAGAAGAAGTAGCACCACGTATATCACCCACTATACTTATTCCCTTTTTTAAAACTTCTTTCCTGAAATATACATGTTTAAAAGTGTAAAATAGATAAAAGTATGATTATAGACTGAGAGTGTGATATAAATAAGATTGGTGTTGAGGGAAGAAATTTCATAGACGATCAAGAGTTGTTTCCCATTTTTATCACCTTATTTGTCAAATGTGCAATATTTTTATAAATGCATTCACGCACAGCTGCGACTATTTTAAAGATAATCATTGAGAACTGCGTGAGAATAAATAGTATACAAAGTATATGGAAGTATACATGAGTTTATCTCTACTCAATTTACATACTAACAGAAATAAACTGATAATGTTTATATTATAAATATCGTTGCTTGACTACTGTACCCAATCCACCTACTGCCCATTCAGTAGATTCCTGGACTGAAAAAATGACAATATTGCCAAGCAGGACATTCAGAGACATCATAATCTAAGAAAAATGTATTTGACATAGAAAAGTATGACAGTTAGCACTATATTCCAGTAATAAGTCACTTAGTGCATATTATAGCAAAGGTTAGGTAAAGTATGTAATTCTAATGAATGAATCAGCAATTAATCGGAAAAAACTTTTTTTTTTTTATTTAGACGTACCTGGGTATAGAATAAAAATACATTAATAATCTAGCTAGTTCGGTACTTGATACATGTCGATTATGCCAGAATGTACTACCAGTAAATATCAATATAACAGCTCCACCTTTAACATCTCGACAACCTACAATAATGTATCAAAAACAATCATACAAACTTGTCTACAGATCAAACAACACGAAGCTCAATGTAACAACATATTTCAGGTTTTGTTTTAATCTCTATATTTCTAAAAATAATAACATATATTTTCCAACTTCTGGTTCAAAAAAGTCCTGTGCTAACTTAGCAACATGTTACAGAGCGTTGATAAAGATTTGTTATCTTTGCATGCAAACTCAAACTTTTATATCTCCATATTCTCGGCAAAACAGTTTATGCAAACTAATGGAAAAAGAAGAACACTGAAAACAGTGCTGGATGTAAGATAAGTACAAATCTTAAGGAGTGATTAACTAACTATTGAGAGCATATAGTTTCTATTTGAATACATATACTATCAATATTTTAGTTCAAAATTAATATTTTGATTACAATTATGTATCAATATTAATTTTCTTTTCTAAGATAGTTTAAACCTAAGAAAATACTAGTAACTTGTTTAAGCTCTATGCGATTTTATCAGATAATATTTTTTAATTTTACCAGAAAATTAAGTCTATATTCAATTGCATCAACCCATAAAGTCAATGATTCATAGTAAGAATATAACACTACATAACTATCAGAAAACACATCCTGTTTCAAACTTAAACAATTCTCATTTATTTTTTGTTGATGAGTCAATGAAACTGGATACATTATTTCCTACCACACTTTCAGTACCCAGTATTTAAATTACATTAAAACATCATCATTATCATTAAAACAAATATAGACCTTGTTATTACTGAAAGTTAAAAATAATTCTCATAAGGAAATCATATTTGACCAGCACATTATCCAGGTCCAAACTTTCAAAACTTTTCAAGGCCTCCTCACTGTAACTCATTTCACAAACATAAATTGAAGTTTGAGAAATATATCATTTGACTCAACGAAAACAGAAGGAATGAAAGCTTTAAATAACTGATTAGGAATAACAACAACTTACCTGGTAAAACAGCAATCCCTGATTGTAAAACTTCATGATCTACATCCATTACTGATTGAGGAGAATCTAATAATCTACTTTTATAAAACTCACTAGATATAGTTCTCTCTAATGTCTTAATATCACATTTACCTACAATAAAATACAATATTTTGAGTTGGCTTTGTAATTCCTCTGATTCTGGAGGAATGGATGGAAAATGCTCAGCAATGTGTCATAAGTGAAAGTTGGAAGGAACAATGCTACACAATCTAGAGTACAAGCTTAAAAGTATAGATCATGTTAGTAAAACATAACATATCTATATCCTATTGATGGATGATAAACACCATTTAGTTCCAATGCAAACATGATATTTATGACGATAGAAAAAAAATAAGAATATGTCAGGGTACAAATAAGTGAAGTTTAATATCTGCTGATTTGCAGAATAATCACAAGTACACCAGGCACACATAATTTGCTTATTCTATTCTATGCTGTCTTAATAATCTAACACTTTACAACAAATCAGACGCCATACCTCATCAAATTGCAGCTTTAAAAACAAGTTACTTACTAGATTGAGATGATTTGTCAATATTCCCATTTTGTTCTGAAATATCATTATTAGAATTTGAATCATTTAATTTCGCTTTGGCTAAGTCACTGGATATACACTTTTCTTGTTGACACGAATTGACAGAACTATCTCCATTGTCGTCTGCTATATCATCCCATTTTAATCTCTCAATACCTTCTTCAACAGATACAATACAATTCCTTAATATTGATACTATATCCCCTTCACTAGCTGTTTCAATATGTTTTAATATATCGGTAGTAAAGGCAAGATGATATTCACCCTCCATTATAAGATATTCCTGTACACCATTGATTGTATGATATTTCACCACTAAATCCGGTTCCACACTTTCACTCAATCGTAGACAGAAATAGAAATCATGGCACTGAGTTTCACTTTGTAAATCATCACATAGATGTAATAGAACAGCTGATTTGTAACAGAAAGGGAAATATTTCCGTTCACCATGTTCTTCTTTATAAGTCTGTAAAATACAATCATTGAGAATAATAAGTATCTGTTTGATTATTAATTCATAGCTTTAATATCAAGGTTAAAATTCAATTTAATAATACACTGATCATTTCCTACACAAGTTATATTTTCTACATGAGAAGACAAATTTTCTTAATAAAATATACAATATAAAACATGAATGGCATACTTTTCTCAAACTAAAGCAAACATTCCCTTCATTATAGTCCTACAATGTCAGATATTTGTGGGAAAGTCTAATTTCTTGCTCTAATTCACATGATAAAGTAAGAAAATCCTCTTATAAAAACAGATTTATAAGGTCCCGCCTGGGATTGTTAAACACCTACATATGTAATCTGGACTAATCTTATATCTCACTCAATATTATTTCAAATTATATCAATTTAATAAATTCATGATGCTTCCTAAATATCTATCCAGATTTTGTTAAGATTCCTTATTACTGGTACTTCTGAATGACACTCATAACACAAACGACTTTACTATAAAACATGAACACTCAGTATTTTTCCACATTTTGTAAGAATTTCCTCATATACTTCTCATTTATGTCGTATTTATTCATTATTTCATAACTATTATCACAGGTTGTCATTACTATCTATTATTTCCTTACATGGTAAGCATTATAGTAAAATTATAATCAAATTGCATTTAAGGCAAATAAATTCATTGACCCTTTAATAAAAAAAAACCTTGAAAATCAAACACATAATTGATGGAGCATCCAATAACAGCACCTCAGGATATGCAACCTTTTTTTCTGTTAAACAATGTTATAAGTGTAAATAGCTACTATTATTCCAATTAGAAACCTCATAGAGTCCAATATCTTAACAATACTGCTTTATTTCAATTGCACTTTTAAGCCTTATTGAAAGTCAATGACTGAAAACAACAGTTATAAAGATCATATTTATTGATTTATATATATTTAAATAAAATCATATCAATATACAGGTGTGATCAAAGTATTGAACACCTAAAGATATTTGTCAACATCTCAACAAAACAAGCGTGATGCCAAAATTTAGATAACCTATGTTCAAGTACAGTATATTTCAAAAACATAATGTATATCAATCTACAACAATCTACTTTTAAACTTCAATAACCTTAGTACTCAAATCTCTTTACCACTTTACACCTTTAACATAACCTACAAGAATGTGCACACATTGAAGGTATTAAAATTCTGAAATGAATTACTAAAACCTGATTTTAAACTGAGATAAAGATTACCTCATGTAAGTGGTTTATAAGTAGATCACCAACATAATATTCAAGTACTTTCTGATCATCAAAACAATCATGTAATCAGGTAAGTGTTTATTATCTATTATAATAAGAGTACTAACACCTTAGAAGTTTACTTAGCACTGTTTATTTCTAAACCACAATGGATTATAGTTGTACGTAAAGCTTTTGTTGTGTAATATTTAACACTAATCATAAATCTTAATTGCAAAATATGTTGAGAAATTAGGGCCCGAAATATTCAATTTTCTATCTTCAATATTTGTATAAAGCAGTGACTTTCGCCCTAAACAATTTATCATAGGCCAAAACTACATAAAGAGATAACAGGTATAATACAACATATTCTAAAAACATGCAATATTTACTCAGCTATTAAAAGTAGTTTTGTTCAAAAAGAATTTTAATGTTCTTGAAAAACTGGTTTTACTGTACTATCATTTTCTATATTTGTGATAAATTTGTAAATATTAACACTTTGTACAGTGTACACCTGTACCAGACATTGGTTGGTCAAGAGACAGCTATATTGTAACAATTTAATTTTATCATGTCCTACTTATTTTAAGAATGATACAAACTAAGTGGCCTTAAGGAACTTAAGAACTTTTCTCACTAAATATGAGCAAGAAACCAGCAATTTATCAAAATGTATAAGGATATCAGGGCTGAATTATTTTTATCTTTATCCAGGTTACCAGAACGTCTATAATGACCTCTAGCTGGAACTAAAACCTACAGTGAGCATTCAAGTTCACTTTAGACTTACCCATGATGACACACTATTCCAAATGTTCAAAAAGATTGTGATAGAATCTTTAATCTTTAGCTAATTAGTAAATCTAAATGATTGTGAAATAAAAAAATTTGGGAGGACATTGGACCATAATTCAGAAAACCATTTGTTGGAAATTAAAGGGACAGATCCAATTTGTTTGGTCATAAGGCAAAACTTAAATTGCCCAATTCTGTTGCTACTTTGAGTTGAAAAAGTTATTGAATGTCAAAGCTCAATAAAAAAAATATTTAAATACTTTATGTAAGCTTCATATCTGTGGTGTTTGAAATCGAATATTTCAAAGATTTCACTAAGTTCCTGTTTTTTATCATACACATCTCACATACAGTCTTATTGATCAATCTAGGAAAATTGTTGAATTTTCAAATCTTGATATTTTAAGATGCTTACATGGTTCATCTCAATGAATTTTAATATATATACGACAAATTTGGCACATCTTTTAGATATGGGTGTGCCACTTTAAATCTTCAAAGTGTCTTTGAGACAGACAAAATCTGTTTAAAAAGTCAGTATTTAAGTTCATTAAGGTATATATTGAAGAGCTCTATGTAGTTTTTATCTTTTGATTCATTAAATTATTCTAAGGGTGTGAGAATAAAGCCTATAGAATTATAGAGATACTTCCCTCCAACACCTTTATATAGCTAACATAATAGTAGATAAAATAATTTCTATACTTGAAGATAATGTAAATAATTTATCAAAATATATCGTTTACCTTTATATTTCTATAAAGTTTATTTTTTATTTCAATACAAATCATTATATAATAATATTCAAAGATTTGATATTTGTTATTTCTTTTGAGATTACATATACTTTCAACCGCATCAGAACTGTTAAAGCTTTGAAAATTATCACAATTTTTTGCAGTTTCTCAATGTTGGATCACTGATTTCATCTCTACAAATTTATTGGATATACGAAGGTCACATAAACTACATTACATTTTATAGTTTCAGATTTACTACCTACCAATTGTCAGACTTAAATTGAACAAATGAATGTGATAAGCAGGCTTTAGTGGAATAAGTAAAACAAATCAGTCATAATGTCATCTTACTTCCTAATCTCAACTTCCATGACAGAAATTTGATCTACATCATCTAAATAAGAAATAGATCTTTAAAAGTTTTCAGATTTATATGATGTTTCCCTGGAGGAAAGGAAGAGAGTAATATTATAATCTACAAACTGTCTAATTACCAATTACAACATACAGACAACTATATTTCCATTGAGTACAATCCAGGTCTTTGATTCAATGTGGCTGATGGATTAACTAAAAAGCTTTCAGTATAAAATATATCTCTTTTCATGCTCTCAAAATGATCAGGATAAAAATCACAGCAGACATTTCAATCTTAAGAAACCATCCAACACATTCACCTATATACTCTTTGTGATTCTGCTTCATGCTATTCCAGCTATCGTGATATAGATTTTGGGTCTTGAGCATCACAAAGTTAAGTATTAACGTGCCCTGTGGTCAAGATTAGATCAGGTTCTAAATAAAGGAAAGAATAAGTAAAGCTCTGACCCAGCTTCAGTTTACACATTGGGATTGATTGTGTTTGGATGTCTATGTCTATTCCAGTCTATAAACAATGTGATTTCATTTATTAAGAATTGCTTGACTGAAGTTATGTTAGATTTGTCCTTAAATACACTGATCCACTATTTCATCACATTTCTAAATAATCAGATTATACCATGTGAAGAAATATTAACCAGAATAGTCTAGTATAGAACTATGTGACTGAGTACTAATGGTCCATCTGTTGTGCAAGATATTACTAGTGAAGTCCATCAAATAAATGAGAAAGAACTGAACTGACTATGATACTACATAGTTTCTGTTAGTAATTTAATGTGTTAGTGAGATAATAATGTAAGAAAAACTTGTACATCAATGTTAACATCACTGTAATATATCATCTTGTAGAAACGGTAATGAAAACTAAACATAGGTAATGTTAGTTTAAGGTAAATAACCTAGTGAAACAAGAGATAAAATAGATAATCAGTATTTTACAACTTCGTGTTACCTATTTAGTTAAACCATGCTAGTGGAAAATAGCATGGTTTCAATAAAAACAATAATTTCGAAATCTTTAACTCAACTTACAATATATGATTAAACAATCAATGATCTTCTCTGAAAGGGCAACTCTAAAATGATTGACCTCAACTTTCATTGAATTTCACAAGTTACAAGACCTTTAAAGGCTGAAGTACACATTATTAAGGTATTAAGGTTATCAGACGTTCAAATTATCTTACCTAATACCTACAATGACATCCATTTTATCACAACTATCATTCACTTTTAAATCTTTAAAATTTCATGTAACTTTCCAAAGATATGCTAACAAGGATTATTCAAATGCATAAAGAAAATTTGGTATCAAAATAAAAATATTTACGGCCATACTCAGTAATCAATTGATTAATTCAACTTTCTACCAACTGGGCCAGAGGCAGCAGTCACCCAACAAAGGAGGTTGAATTGTAATTGGCTATATTTCGACTTTTTTAAAAAACTCTATCCCCTTACCACAAAAAGGCAGTGTTCAACCTTAGCATCAGAGAGAAATATAGTTTAGAGTCCGACATGGATAAAATTTGGTTCAATTGAATATGAAAAAAAAAAACAGGCAAAATTTTGAATTGCTGACTTTCAACAAGGCTTCCAAATCTATAAAGTATGGCATAGTAAGTGTTAATTTCATCAAAATTCTTCTCAAAGGAGATGTAACTTGAAGAAATCAGACTAATTGTTTAAGGTGATGTAGAGAGAGATATGACCAGGTGTTTTTCAGACCTCCTGATCTAATATATGTTATAAAGATAATATTTTGAAGATATTTCTGATGAACTCAGTCTGTTATTATACTAGAATATTATATATGATATTTCTATATGCA